TAGTTTTTTACTTGATTAAAAAAAATTATGCATGCATGTGTGTGTGTCTGTGTGTGTGGATTGTGCATTGACACATCGATACATTCATTGACTTTTACTTACTACAATGCAATACAAAGTAATAAATAATTTTTCAAGGAAATTGTTATCAAATGACATGACAGAGTAATATACTAGCAACCAAAACAATCAAAAAAGAAAAAAACATTTAACCAAGATAAAGTTATGATTAGAAATAAATTTTTCCCCATATACGTACGTATATTACCGACTGAGTTTGTATGGCAAAGTTTGTACTTATATGTTAGTTGAAATATACGTAAAAATCAAACACTTCATAGTAGTAGTAGTAGTATATTTACATAGATGTGTTATTCTTCTTGTGGGGAAAAATAAAAATGATAAATTTTAAGGAGAAATTTATATTTTTTTCCCTTTTTTTTTCTAATATAACTACAGTTGAAACGATTGACTATAAAAATAAAATTATCATATGGTTTGATTTATTAATAGAAAAGTTGATATTGATTAATATTCATAAATGACTAACACGTTCATATTAGTGTATAGACAGACAGAGATTGATACATCGCATAACTTCGTACATAAGTATATCAGTTCAGATTGTTATACCGTATTAGCACAGAGAAGCAACTGTCCGTTTAAATCATATGGTGGTACAGATAGTAGAAGTATTACTGGCAATGGAGAAGATTGGGGTCCAAATATATGATTCGAGAAGTATATTTCAGTGAGATAAATTTAGAAAGAAAAAGATAGAGATGGTGAGGAATTCAGTAGGTTGAAATTTGAGAGAACACAAAGAGTGGATCCACATACGCCGCTGCACACGATTTGGAGCCATTTCGTTCAAGATCTCTAACCATCGGTGACTTTCGTCTCGCGAACCCCAACCAGGTATCTTACATCTACCAACATGACTCAGTCCACTTGTTAGTGATTACATGGACTTCTACCATGTTTCAGTTTAGCCTACTCCTACACCACCCTAAGCAACAATGCAAGATTGTTCGGGATGCGGTTTTCACCCTCGAAATGCAAAATGTTGCTTCAAGATTAGGTTTCATCGGCACCTGAACTAGTGATAGCGAGTGAAGTAGTCGAGCGTGTAGACCGCTTCACTTATCTTGGGAGTCTCATCAGTGCCGATGGCCTGGTGACTGACGAAATCTCAGCTCGGATACAGAAGGCTCGATTGGCTTTTGACAACCCGCGTTACTTATGGCGTAGGCGAGATATCCGTTTGCTGACTGAAGGACGAGTGTACTGTGCAGTGGTTCACTCCGTCTTACTTTATGGCTGTGAAACATGGCCAGTGAGAGTAGAAGATATTCGTAGGTTACTTGTCTTTGATCATAGGTGTCTTCGAAGCATTGCTCGTATATCGTGGGACAACCGAGTGAGCAACGCTGTTATTAGGAAACGGGTGCTAGGCAAGAATGGCAGATCAATAGACGCAGTAGTGACACTTCATCAGTTGAGGTGGTTGAGACATGTATTGCGTGTGCCCAACCACCGACTGCCTCGTCGAGCTATATTTTGTAGTGTAGGAATAGGTTGATAGAAAGTTAGGGGTGGCCAAACCAAAACATGGCAGAAATCCATGAAGTCATTGACGAGTAGACTGAGCCATGTCGGTAAGTGTCGACTATCACCTGGTTGGGGTCCGCGAGATGATAATAATCGATGGTTAGAGACCTTGAATGACATGGCTCAAAATCGTTCGCAATGGCGCCGGTGCCTTTATTCTTTGTGTTCTCTCAAATCCTAATCTTCTGGATTCTTCAACACCTCTAGTTTTCACTTTCTAAACTTTTCTCATTAAATCATACTTCTTGAATAATATCTTCTAATCCTCACCTCTCCGATTACTTCTAATACCTTTACTATCTCTTCTACTATTGGATTTGAATTCACAATTACATCTCTGTGCTGATGTGGTATGGCGACATGAACTGATGTACTTACGTACAAAGTTCTACGTTTCATCTGACTGACTGACTCCTACACCACAAATCATAGCTCGTCGCGGCAGTTGGTGCTTAGGCATACGTAACACATATCCCAACCACCTCAACTGATGAAGTTTCATTACTTCATCTATTGACCTGCCATCCTCATCTAAAACCCGTTTCCTAGCGACAGTATTGCTTATAAGGTTGTCCCATGATAAACGAGCAATGCTTCGGAGAAACATAAGATCGAAGACAAGCAATCTACAAATGTCATTTATTCATACCGGCTACGTTTCGCATCTGTATATTAAGACCGAGCGAACTACGAGTTAAAGAAGAATGGGGAGAGTGGGCAGTGTTGACGGACACCACTTGAAGTAACTAATTCCAATGACACTTCGCCATATGCTCTAACTCGACCAGTGATGTACGAGTAGAGAGCCTGTATAAGGTTAATGCACTTCTTTGGAACTCCTTTTAATGACAGACGCTGCTACAGAACCTCACGATCAACTAATTTGTATGCCGCTTTAAGGCATATTACTGTATAGTGGATTATTATTTCTTTCTTTCCAAATAATCGAATGCTTTTAGAGAGAAAAATAAATTTTAGAATACTGTCATTATCTACATACATCGATGGGGTTTCTTGTCGACTAAATCCAAAGATCAACTTACAACTCAAACCAGTGCGCTTAATGTTGAATCACCTAGAGTGATGGTCACATTTTAACTCGATTGATAAAACTCGATGTGATTTAAGAAGGACCTAACGTACATAACATAATTCACTATCGACTGATCGATCAATAGTGAGTATACGTGTCAACACTGAATTGAAAACAGCTCTTGCATTCTTATAATTACTACTCATTAGAACAATTCTCGTCAATGTTTTGAGAACAAAAGACATATTGTAAAAGGGTTATTTTCAAATGTACCGATGTCTGAAATTATGACTGCGTTAAAATAATCTCAGAAAATTAACTACATCTTCCAGTTTTAATCTTCGCTAATAAGCACATTTTAAAATATTCAAACAATAAGAGTCAGCAAGCATGTCTTATCTCTTCTTTAACAACCTAAAAAGATAATTCTCTTTTGTATTATACTGGTTTCAAATTATCCTCTGTAAACATTTACTTCTGAAACGTTCACTATTCAATCTATCCCTTTTCGGTTGAATTACTTAAATAAACCAGGCAATAGCGTTCATTTACTAACATTCATTCTTCTTTAATATCTGTGATAATTTGTATCCAAAAGAAAGAACTTTAAGAAACCGACTGAATCTTCTATCCAGCTTCAGTGACATTAATGAAAGTTATTAATATACTACTAAAGGTGAGTCACATAATCTAACAAGGTGTGGCACGCTGACTCTAATCAATGAAGAACATATGTTCTTTCTTATTTTGTCAATAAGATCACAACAGTCTGATCACTAATCTTTTTAGATTTTGTCATTATATTGTCAATTTCCAAAGTTCATTTTACTTCTCATACTAGCCAGCTTATGAATCCATTTAAGTTATTCGGTACGACGTTTTTTTAGTTCACAATGAATGTTTATAATGTATGATTCTAACAAAAGTTAATGTTTTTCATACAAAATAAAAATTAACGAAAATACATTTTAAGGATTAATCACTGTGTGTATTGTTTTTTTATTTTACAGAACTGACTAACTAATCATAGCTATGTCTTTTAAGTGTTTTGGCATTGGGATAGACTCGGTTCCGACGTAATCACTTGAAGTATACTTTAGCATATCTGTTTTGACTAAATACAATTAATAGCAAATCCTAAGCTCGTTTTCACTTCTGTGAGACGTGCATTAAATTTCAGGAACTCATTGAGTGCCTTAAATGAAATAGATACTTGGAAAAACGAATATCCGCAACTTCGGAAAGGAATCTTCTTCTCAGACAACATTCCGCTGATAATTTGCCATCGGAGATTTAATCAGAGCTAGCAATACAAACTGATAATAATGTAACTAACTTAGAGATGTATTGTGCCGTCGTAACTAGACATTATGTGTGATAAAAATCAATCAATAAATGTTGAATATGTTAATTAAAGCAGAGAAAAAAATGCAATTTGTTTGCAATTATTCTCAACCGCCAAAAAACTGGTATTGACGAAGCAATCGATTGAAAATCTGTTAATCAAAAAAGTACACAACATTGCGTCATGTAGTCGGTTGTGTCTAAAAAATTATTTATCTTTAACTGGTTACAAAATATTTGAAATAAAAACTAACAGAAATAGAAAACAAAATGTATGACTTACTAGTAAGAAACTTAAATTGTCAAATCGTTGAGTAACTTCCTTTTTATACGACATTCGATTATTCAGAAGATTTGTATCTTCACTGAAAAGATGAGCACCTTTAGCGTGTATTTTCGCCAATCGAATAAATTCTGAAATAATGTAATGATAAAAAGGGAAGTAATGATGTACTTGTTCAAAAAAATCACATTAACATATAGTATTTCAACTCGTTTTCTACAATAACCACAGCGTTTTTTTAAAATTTTTTATAATCCTTAAAATGTCCTTATACGTAGATTAATATCAACTCAGAAACAAATAAAATTGAACGACAGATATACGCGCAAGATTTTATGAATATCGAACACCCCTTCATAAAAGTTTTTATTGCTGAATATCATCCTTTAATTTGTATTTGAGAAGAACTTTGGGAAGATCTATATTCAAAAGGAAAATCAGCAGGTGCCATGGTTCCGTCAACACATGGAACTAATGTAAGTTTGATATCCGCAATAACTGAAAATGAAGTTCTTTTTGCTCAAACATTTTTTGGTTCAGTGAACTCTGATAAGTTCATTCTTTTTTTTTGATCAATTGATTGAAAAATGCAATCAAAAATCAATTTTTAAGAATTGCATTTTTATCCTTGATAATGCAAAGGTCCATGTCTGCGATATTAACAAAAATTTTTCGATGAAAATGGAGTAAAGGTTATGTTTTTGTCCCCTCATAGTTATACATATGCATTTTCAAAAATTGAATCCATTGTAAGAAGATCACTGGCAAGCGGATTTAATGAATCATTTACAAATCTTATATATAAATATATTAAATTCTGTAAGTCAATTAACCACAAATGATTTACAAGTTTATTCAAGGCATATACGTCGCAGTTGTTGAAAAGCGATTGCTTAAGAAGACTTTAATTTAAAAATAGTATTCTCTTCTATTTTTTTAAAAAAACGTTTGAAAAACGCTATGAAAATTAAAAAAAAACGAGTTGAAATACTATATTAAATCAATTAATCGGAATATATATATATATATATATATATATATATATATATATATATACATGAAGTAAACAATCGTACTTTTTGCAATTACAACCACTTGTCCAATATGTAAACAGAAAAAGTTCAATCATTCACAACAGACGAAAAGGCTCGTAGACCGAAATTCATACTACGTATCAAGTTAGCGTGCATGAGAGAATAATACCGAAAACCTACTACTTGTTTCATATTTTTTATTTGAAGACTATAGAATTTAAAAGAATCGAATGTGAAATAGGTTCGTTGATACTAAATTTCATCAAATTTTTACAACTGATTAAGATATTCACTATGATGACATAAAGTGGTGAATTCAAAATAAAACTCAGTTGCAACTGAGTTTACAGAGACCGAATTTGCAGGGATTTTTAAATATTCCAGCGAGATGTATATTTTGAAGCTTTTTATCTAGCTTAAATAGACATATTAAGGGGTATTGATATCGATGGCCATGATAGCTAGTCTCGCAGTCTGACAAGGACTAGGAACATTATGAAAATATCTTTTATTTTGTTGAAAAATTAGTATACGACAGTGAGACATAGATATTCATTTTATTAAAATATGGAAATAAGGTAATGATTGACAAATAAACTTATTATTATTACTATAGCAGTTTGTAAGAATTATTGAAATTGATAATTTACACTACAGACTGATCTTAGTTAGGTAGACGTCGGAAAGTACGAAGGACTGAAATCACAAGAAGTATTCTAGTATAGAACTTGTTAGTATTATGCATGTACGATCTATCGGGGATCAAACCTATAACCTTCTAGCATCTGGAAGAGTTAGACTCATCATCTTTTTGTCAGAAAAAAAACATTTAAATCCAAAATTCAAAATTAACAAGATGGTGAAAATCGCCTTGAATGACAGTAAACTACATAAATATCATTGCATGCATATATATGGATTAGCTATTAACATTTCTTAAAACAATGTGGTCATTCTTTTAGGCGCGTAATCTGTGCACTAACTAGTCCTTAGTTACATTAGATTTAATAACCAGATTTATAAGGTATATCACTTGAAAACCTCATGATATATACACATCAAATATGAAGGATTTTAGGAAACAACCTCAAGTAAATATAAAACCAACTAAATAAGCCAGTAGACAGAAGGGATACTTAATATTCATTTGTACAAGAAAATCCCGTATAACTGCTACTTAACTTCATACTATTTATTCATATGCTTTGATAAATGATAAAATTTTCTAAAATAACTTATTGCAAGAAATCAGCCGAAAATCATAACTTTTTACCAAACCATTAATGTCACATATGTTAATTTTGACAATATTGAAAATCCACATGAATGATTCTATTTTGCAAATATTCCATTTTTGGGTCCAATTAATTAAATTGTGAATAATCATGCATAAATCAAAATCGTAAAGGTTTTCTTGTTGGTTATTTAACGCGTTATGGTTAATTGTCAAAATGTTTTGTTGAAAGGGAATGCTGGTACATGGAGTAGATTTTCAAAACATGAATATTGGCAGTTGTTTATTGTATACCTAAGATTATCAGCCTATTATTCCCGAACTCATTGGTAAATTTGTATTCGCTTTGTATGACCAAAACTCCAGACACAAAAAAACAGTCATTAAAGTTTTATAGGAATTTTTCAATTTCGCTGATGATGTTATTCAGAAGAACAATGAACGCTCCAGCTCACAGAACGAAACACCACCACAATCATCCATCTGAGCTATAAACTTTTGCAACATCTCAATTTAGCATCAAGTGTTGATCTCAATGAGATAATCGTTGTATATCAAAAAGTACTTCTTATCGATTTTGGCCTATTATAGCACTCACTCCTTAGAAGTTAACACTAATGACTTCAAATCAAATTGAATCTACTACCTATCCGTAAAATGTTTTAGACCATTCAGCTGACATTCAATAGTTTCCCTAACATTATGATTACTGATATATTCACTATAAAATCCACTAGTCCGACTATAAAATAATCAATGTGAATATTGTTTTCACTGGATTTTTCAATCATACATACAATTAATTTCATGAATTTGGGCTATTTTGATGAATAATAATTTGGGAATAAATAAAAAAAACCAATATTTTAATATTGATTTTCCTGAACAACTATTTCCTATTCTCATTTCTCATTTTGTTTGTTTGATATTTATATGAATATAAAATAATAACTGACTGAAGAGGAACAATAAATTCACAAGAATCAATTAATTATTCACTTAATCAGTAAGTAAATTAAAACCTAAATGAATAAATATTACCAACAATAATAATCATCATATATATATATAATAAAAATGTTATTTTTAGTATTTATGAATAGAGTTAGACAATGGACAGAGTGAAAAAAGGATCATAAAGTTTCTCTAACCAAATAACATATTCTAAACTCTAACAACAGAGGTATACGATTACATATATGTCTATATATATATATATATATATATATATATATATATATATATATATATATATATATATACATGCATACATGACTACAAACTAGAATATACATGCACTTGTTATCTGATTGACTTTTATTGAATTATTCAACTCAATTATCTGAGCATTGATTTGTATTAATTAGTATAGAAATCAATAATTCTAATTAATATTTTATTGAGTACATTGTAGGTAAATTTAAATGAAAAGCAAAATTATTTTTTATTTTTTATTTTTTGTTTTCATGAAAGATACATAAAAATGAAAGTTGACGTTATAAATGATACTTTTCCATGAATAAAATGTAATCCTTTTTTGTTTCAAAATGTTTTCGATGTGAATTAGTGTTGTTTTAAATAACTAATTAAAAGAAATGTTGAGTTTTCTTTGATAAACGATCAAGACAATATTTTATTTGAGAATGAAGATGTTAGATTTTTTCAATCACTAATTAATAAGTTTACATCTATATATCTACAATGTTCAAAAGTAATTTATTTGGTCGTCAATTAGTTTAACAGTGTTTTCTGCCAAATAAAGTCATATACTGACAACAGATATTTTCTAAATATTCTTACATTCAAATATAACAATTTCAAAGCTTTGCTACAGTGAATAGTGTAAAAGATAAATATCAAATCAATTGTTCGAAAACGTCAATATATTTCTAGTTTTTTCTTGTCAAAAAACATGAACAATAGCCTTGTAGAATAAAACTGTTTTCATTATTGTTGTTCTGTTTCAGTAAATAAAAACACAGTTGTGTTCATGAAAATTAGACTGAAAAAGAATGAAACAGTTTTATTTGAAATAAAGCCATCCGTCCTATTATACGTATGTGAAACATGGCCGGTATGAATAGTAAACATTCATAGGTTATTCATAAACAATTATAGATGTCTTCGAAACTTTGTTCGTCTATCCTAGGAAAACCGAGTAAGCAATGTTATAGTTAGGAAACGGATGCTTGACAAAGGATAACAGATCAATTTTCATTTTCATTGTTCTGTTTCAATAATAATGATGAAAACACAATTGTGTTCATGAAAATTAGATTGGAAAAAAATGAAACAGTTTTAATTGAAATAGGTCCGTCATTTATAATACAGAAACTAAAGCCAAATTTAGTACAAATCATAATTTTTGAAAATAGATGATGTCATAAAAGTCGAACATTGTTGAAACCTTTCGTTTAGTTTTCCTTGAACTACTCTCTCTCTCTCTTCCAAAAGTATTCAGTTAATCCATACATAGCTCGTTTAGTTGACAGTGACTTTGTAAAGGGAATTATTCAACCTCTGATAAAATGAAGCTATCCTTTAAGTATTTAAAATCAAAATCAATTAAGTTGTAAACAAAATATCGACTATCCTGGTTCAACTATTCAATGTTTCTAAATGAAACTATATAGTTTATGAAGTTTGATAATATCTCACATCCTATTTCGTTAAAAATAAAAAATTTATTTAAGATTTCTTAATGATAATTTGTTCAATAATTGTCAATACTTTTTTCCATATATTTTTTTAAAAATTAAATCCAATGAAATTGTAATTAAATGACATTTTTCAACAAGCAGGAAATACACATAAATTCTCTTTCTTTCTTCTGTTTTTACCAAGGGAACCAAATGTAGGAAAA